AGCTAGAGGCTTAGCTATGAGATCAAATTTGTCTTCAGTTTTAGCTAATAACTACATGGCTCACTTAGAAGACAGAATTTTCTAAGAAGCACTCCTAATTCCGAAACTATTAATCAGATATATGGAGGATTATTATGCAACTTGGCAGCATACCAGTCTGGAAGACTTCTATAGGTTAATGGATATACTGCATAGGACGACAGAATTTACTATGGAATTAGAAAAGGACAGTAATTAAACCCGCAAAGGCAGGTTTCTTTCTTAATTTTTTAAAAACTCATGTTTATGGTGTTAAGATAGAAATTATTAAATCAATGAAGACAAGGAGTTTTTGTGTAGCGAAAGTAAATCAACAGGATCAAGCTAGAAAGGCTAATAAAAATCTGAGATGAGAACAATTATCTGGCAGGGTTAACTGTTAATAGTTTAAACTACTAAGAAACCGGATGAGAGGAAGTCACTAACTACGAAAAAACAGAGAATTAGACAATTCTTCTTCCAGATTCCTTATTCTAGCTGATGATTATATTCCTGATATAGAAAGAAATATTAAAGCTTTCCTCGGCCATGACTTTTTTATAGAATCTTCAGACGCCCTTCTTAAAACAGGCTGTTGTAGGGTTTCGTGCACATGTGGTAGTGTATATGTGAAAAAAACTTGACGACCCATACATAAGAGGTTATGAGGATAAAAAGCACTAGCAAAGGTTTATGGATTCAGAAATCGGAGGTGGCTTAATAAAGTATTAATATAGGACACGATATAGAATGGTCTAAAACCACACGTCCTGCTGGATATGGGGACTTTATAAGTAAGATGAAAATCAGTGAATGGATTGAATTAAACAAAACAATGATTATCCTAAGTGAAACGAGCGCAGGAAACTAAGCAGGAACTATCTCTGATTACTAGATAGCAGTATAAAGAGCCATAGAATAAGAGCAGAAGATTTTACTAACCTGATATCTAGTTTGGGCTCGAAATTGCCAACTAACTCACGACTATTAGATACATAAAAGGCACATATCCACGAAGCTAAAACAAGCCTAAGGATTACAGGAGCATACGCTAGTTTATTAGCACAAAGAAAAGCTGTGGCCACATCCGATCCTCTCCCCGCGGCTTTACAAGGTAGCCTGCCTTATTGAGATAGCAAAGTTAGGCACAGGTAGGACTTCAGCTGGTAGTCTCTAAGACCTACATAATAGCAAAAGATAGGTAGTGTAGTGGAAATTCACATACGCCGTGTCTGAAGGGGAGTTGTGGCACTGTCGAGTAGTGGTTAACGTGTCTAGATCTTATGCTGCACCCCGCCTTGCTTAGGCCTAGACTAGGCCGAAACCGCAGTCCTGCCTGGATAAGAATACTTTTTTATGAAGCAAGGATCTACGAAACTCAATGGAAAGTTAAGGCCTACCCAAGAGATTGTGGGCAAATTCAGCTACCAATCCTTTATCACTACAACGAAATTGTGTAAATACATTTCATATATAAGCTCCAATAGCTCCGAAACCATCTTATATCGAAAATAAGTAGCTTCGTCGATTGTGATGGCAAACACATTTTGTTAATAGACAATCTCAGCATGAATAAGTTAGGGGAAGACTGACTTGCCTTAAATTTCTCATCTGCCCTGCGACCCTCTAGTACCAGTGGCCAAGTAGTGGAATGGAATTATAACATCGTCATGATATTCACGACCCGGTATGCGATCGTGTTCGGAATACTGACTTGACTAAAGCGAGATGGGACCTATAATCCACCCTAAATGAGACAAGCCTGTTGTATCAGCCACCAAATCTCCTTATGCGATCTAGAGTGACCCAGTCTTTACTGAAGAACAATTGCTAGTCTCGAAGCCTAAGTATGTCAATAATAGTATTAGATTTAAATGATCTCAATTTATTAAAACCCACTAACAGCTATATTTTGATGTGATTTTCTAGTTATCAGTGTCACTGTCAAACTTTAATCCCGTTTTATTTAAGTCACATTATACAACCACACAACCCCCACCCCTTTCATTTTAATTTCCACTGTCCATAGTAATTATAAATTAAGACTGACCACACCGGTATTGAAGAGCGAAACAGGTGCTTTTGCATTTTGTGTGAAATGGAAGATTCGCTATTATAAAACGTGACAGTGAAAGAATTCTTGTATGATTTTTCATCCAAACCATGCTTGCTGCTGATAGTGAGCCCCTTTTTATTTAATGTCGCTTAATATCCTCTCAGTTTTTATATATCAGTTAAATACTTTCATTTTACACCGGCCTGCCAGCAGTCTTTCACTTATTTGAGGTGGCTATACTGAGCGATAGCTACCCAAAATGACAAATCGCCAATCCAGAATCTCACAGTAAATTGCCCAATTTCGCAAATATATAACAAATTGGGTCAAACCATGAGATCATTTTGGTGGCATATGGTAATAGGTAAGGCTTTATTCACTTTGCTAGCAGAACTTTATGGCGGCGACAAGCAAAAGAATAATTAAAATTTAAGGGTCAACCAGTTATTCTGAGATAATTAGATTGCCTGCTGAAAAATAATTAGTACTCTAAGTTAGACTACTCAAATACTCTCCAAATACCTAATAGATTAAACTCTTAGTAAAAAAGATTATAAATGTATTCATCATAGGTCGCAAAAGAGGATAGACAGTGGAATTTCCCCACTATAATATAAATGGGCCTAGCGATGCGACTGAATTTCACTTAGCCTTGCCTTGAAAGTCATGTCTTCCCTGTTTTCACCTTCGCCTGTAGCAGTGCGTAGTGGCAAACTGTCGAAAACAGGCGCTGGTTTCGATTCCAGTTGGGGATCGAAGTGATGTCGAAATTTCAGTCCACCCTGTGATAAATTTTTTCATGGAGCATGTCTAAGCGAAATTCATTGGCATCGTGAAGCCAACTCATGATTTTAGGAAAATTCAATTAACGCTGCTTCATCGCATTATGCCACCTAGAATGAATATAGTTCTTATTCAAGATCCATCGGTGGTATCGGAGCCTACCCAATCTGAATATAAAAGGGAATTGCCGAGCACCATTAAAAAATAAGCAAAATAACAATGATTGCTGGCAAAAATCAGGTACAACCTAAAGAACAGAAAATGTTTCATTCATTTATACTTGCCCCTATTTTTATACAGCGATGGCAGCTGAGAGTCGGCTGACAAAGGAACGACCTTTGCACGGTGGTCTGACCAGACAGAATGAAGAGACTGGCTCTGACGGTTTGCAGGAAAATCTAACCACATTAAGCCGAAGCGAGATAACAATTCGCAATAACGAGCATCCAAAGTATGTGAGAACAGAGATGATGCATGCCAGCCAGGATCGAATGAGAACAGATCAGCATTTGGGAATTCCTAATCAAAAACAGGGTAAGCCAGATGCAGGCCAGAGTGAGTTACCGAGATAGCAGGATTTAGCAATGGTTCCGGCACGGTATAAATATGCAAGGTATGCGAATTCGTTAAGCTGCTAGTTAAAGTTGCTCAGATTTTGCTGAAATAATATTACTTGAAACGACATAACATGGCAGTCAGATGTCAGTTTGATACTAATCAATGAATAGATTCAGATACTATTAGATATATCAATTGTTCGTGATCACGTTCATATATAAAAATACGACAAAATGATGAACAAATTGCAAATAATACGAGGGTATGGATGAGGAGATAGTTGATAAAAATATTGTGATGCATCTACCACAAGCAGTCACTTTTCAATTGAACTGGTTTGACGGGTTACCTGAAAATGTTTTCTATATACTAATAGACAATTGGAATGCATTAGTATTCCATTATGCTTTGGTTATCAGATATATATATATATATATGTGTGTGTATATATACTAAATAAGCTCGAGTATGAGTGATCAAGAGAGCTGGGAAAACTCCGTCAAAGGAAGTAAAAGGACTCCGACTTCTCAATGGATTTTCAGTATTTCTGTAGTTATGAAAGCTGATTTGAGTAATACTGCTGTCTGCAAGATACTACATTCATCTTTAAGACGGCATAGAAGGGGTAGTATATCGATAAAAAATTGTCACAGGTACAGATACTTGGCAAATGGTAACAGTTTCGCCCAATTTTTGGTTACCTCTAACATGATGTAGAATAAGACTATAAATAAAAAGAACAAGATCTCTGAATATCGAAGCTACCGAATCGCCTCAAAATACTGGTATTTGTAAAATTCAACTAATCATCTCATCAATGAGCCCGAAATTTATCGAAAAGACGACATTACTGGGGAAAATGCTATTTCGTATTTATAAATTGTCTTGATATTTAACTTCCTTAATAGTTCACCTCTTTTCGAAAGCTAAAACGACACTCGGTAAATTTCTGACTAACTTTCTAAATCGGTCTGCTACAGGGTTTTGCGTTCATGTAGTAGCGACTACGTGGGGGAGACCTGTCGACGCATACATAAGAGGTTATCTGAACAGTTTACTAGTCAGCAAATGTTTGTAGGTCCAAGTCAAAACTGGCTGAAAACTTTGCCCACACAGCACACCTAATAGATTGGTCTAATGCTAAACCCTTAGCTGGATATGGAGATTGTATCAGTAAGCGGAAAATTATAGAATCTATAGAAATCAACAAAACAGCCAACACCCTGAAAAGAAGAAACGGGCGTAGGAAATTAAGTGTAAACTACTTGTGGCTGTTGAATAAGATTAGAGAGGAAATAAGAAGTACCGCTGAGCGAGGCTTGAATAGCCTCAATTGTGGTTTTCCCTCTTAAGCCCTACGCGCCTCAAGAGCATTGCATGTACACAGCACACGTACAATGGAACGCAATCACATGCCCCAGAATTGCAGGATCAAACAAAAAACGATAAGTGTTGTAGGGCAGAATACAGCTGTTTGGTCCCGATCGTATCCATTTTACACTTCAGTTGCAGCACTTCACGTCATCTGCAGGCAGTTGACTTTTTAGCAGCATGTAAGAAAAGCACATGATCTCCAATCGAATAATGAGATGTCTCACGGAGTGGACCTAGCCAAACTATAAAAAGTAGGTAGGAATGCAACTGGTCACAATGTTCGTCAGTGAATTA